TTTTTTCCTTTTTGGACCCTTTTCGCCATGAGGAATCCATATCTGGGCTTTTCAGTGCATAAAAATAGCGAAAATGAGCTTTTTCCAAGGCTTGTCAAGTCCGCATTCACTGAAGATACGCAGGTGGTCTTCCACGCCCCGCCTCCCCTGTTCCGTGCTCCGCCCATTTACACATATTCTTCACTGAATGCGGACCTGGAAAGCTCCGAAAAAAGCTCATTTTCGCCATTTTCGTGCGCCCAAAAGCCCAGGTGTGATGGCGAGAAGGCTCCGAAAAGGTAGAAAAGTGGAAGACGAAATTTTGGCGAAGCACTTTTGAGTTGCCATACCCAGTTGCACATGTGTAATCAAAACTCATCTTTCTGCGGAATTATGACACCAATTTTAGTGACTTCGAAACCCTAAGGATCCCACTAGACACAGCGACTTGAGAAGTGTCCTTCTTTAATTTTAGTTTAATTTTTAATTTTATTTTCTTCCACTAGCAAGCAAAACTGGATCCAGGCAATTCATTGACGTCTAAAATGTTTTTCATTGTTGCATCAAAAACAAATCTGAGATCAAAAATTAGAAAAAAATTCCTACTGTTCTAGTTTTTGGACACTTTCTCTGTTTGTATTAGTCCCCTAACTTCAGAGCATTGAACTACGGAGGTATTGGAGCAATTATGGGACATGAAATGACGCACGCCTTTGATGATGAAGGTACTTACTATTGGCTTCTTTCACCTCATGATAGTTGTAAATCTGGCTACTTTCTCGCCATAACAAAAGACTTGAAAATATCTTAGGAAGCCAGCATGACGCTTATGGTAATCTGCACGATTGGTGGGATAAGGATGTGAAAAAGAAGTTCAAAAAACGCGCCCAATGCTTTGTCGACCAATACGAAAACATTGAGGTTGGTAGATCTTGATGGAGCATAGTTGAAGTCACAGTAACAGTACAGAGTAACAGTAAAGATATCATTGAAGGTAGCGGGAACCAACCTCAGCATCAACGGTAAACTCACTCAGGCAGAAAACATAGCAGACAATGGTGGAGTTAAACAAGCCTACAAGGTATGTCGAGGCTAAGCTTGATCAGCGGTTGCACTTTGCAGTCTGTTCTGTTAAGGCGTACAAAACTTATCTGAAAAGGCATGGTGGAAAAGAACCAAGGCTCAAAGGTCTGGAAAAATATAACAACGATCAAATGTTTTTCTTGGGATATGCTCAGGTAACGTTTACTAGGAATGGGTCATGACTCACAATCTGCGCAAAAGCGTTGCCGCGGCAAATCCAAGAGCTGCCTCTATCAGCACTGGTGTTCCTGGCGCAATGCTACTTATCCTCGAGTCATGTATCTGCCGCCACCCCCCACCCCCTACT